GTTCGTGTGTGTGTATAGTATGGAGGGGGTGTGTGTATACAATGTAGCGGGGTTGTGTGTGTATACAATGTAGCGGGGTTGTGTGTGTATACAATGTAGCGGGGTTGTGTGTAGGGATATACCAGGGCCGATACGTGGTATAGTACTCGTGTAAATGCACAGATTCTAAAGACTGATACTGGCCCTTTAAAATCCTTGCAGTAGCTGTCCTTTGCAGTGCCGGTCCAGCCGCACACCTCCTTCCCGAGACTGGCACAGCACTGGACAGCCTCACACCTGCCGTAGTTTTTTGCAATGATATTGCTTGTCCGCATCCTCAGTGAACCTCTTACAATCGGCTACTTTCTAGCTGGTTACATCTTTTTGCTTCATCCCCCATTTCTACTAAGCTCTGAGTTTTATTGAGATATAGAAGTGAGAAAACAATGTTTCAGTAATAAAGTGACACTAAACCTCAGGGGTTAAATCTTAAAAATCCATCCAAGTCCCCGAGTGTGTTGTAGTCACCGCTCCAAGCTCCGCCCCCGGGATGGACTACAGTCTCAATACAAATCAGTAAATTGAACATGAGACTGTAGTCCATCCCGGGGGCGGAGCTTGGAGCGGTGACTACAACACACACAGGGACCACCGTAGTTTTTTGCAATGATATTGCTTGTCCGCATCCTCAGTGAACCTCTTACAATCGGCTACTTTCTAGCTGGTTACATCTTTTTGCTTCATCCCCCATTTCTACTAAGCTCTGAGTTTTATTGAGATATAGAAGTGAGAAAACAATGTTTCAGTAATAAAGTGACACTAAACCTCAGGGGTTAAATCTTAAAAATCCATCCAAGTCCCCGAGTGTGTTGTAGTCACCGCTCCAAGCTCCGCCCCCGGGATGGACTACAGTCTCAATACAAATCAGTAAATTGAACATGAGACTGTAGTCCATCCCGGGGGCGGAGCTTGGAGCGGTGACTACAACACACACAGGGACCATGGGGAACAGACGTAGTCCCCCTCCGGAAGGAGGGACAGTGTCGGAGATGATTGGAGGATCTCCAGCCGAGTGATACACATTTAAGGACCGGTCTGGTTCAGAGTTCGGGGACTCGGAGGGAGTTTTAAGATTGAACTCCGGAGTTTAGTGTCACTTTAATAATCGGGTTTGATGTTGTGATAGGAGAAGATAACGGTGTAGGAAAAGCCGCCCTTTGGCAGCAGTCATGTGACCTGTTGGTGGAGAGAAAAGGATGAGAACAGGAAGATTTTGTCACACTCCTCGTATGTTCTGTCTATGGGTGCGTCCTCTGACCTCCCTGGCCTGCAATTTGATTTTCATCTCCCGGCACACCTCTTCCTGCTGACTTGGACTCTGGATTGTGTAATGCTCCTCTTATCTAAAATGAAGACATTCACTGTTTATGATTCGGGGCAAAGTCACAAGTATTTACCCTCCATTCCCTCCCCCCCCGCATTGCCTCCCCCCCGGATGCCCTCCCATTGCCTCCCCCCCGGATGCCCTCCCATTGCCTCCCCCCCGGATG